TATACACCTCATTACTGAGTGTGCTGTCAGTGGACACTGCTTTCCCACAATGCAATGCACAAAGAAAATGGAGATGCTCGCAGCTGAAAAAACCTAATAAGCCTACACCCATACAGTGTGAAAGAAGTTAAAATAAATTAAGTGGTGATGAGTCGTCTCCCAAAAAATTTGAAAGCCAAACAAATTTCAGTTTCATTTCAAAGTTGTAGTTTAATGATGACCAACATTGCATGTATATTATTTTCTATTAGTATAAAATGAAAGTATTTATTTTGACTGGCCTACTGAAACAGTATACTGTAATGATTATCATGCAGTATGCTGTGATGTGGGTCATGTTACTAGTGTAATGCCATGCTAGTGGCTCTGTGAAGCTGTACAGAGATGCTGCTCTGTAGTGCCTAATGCTAACGTTAGCTTGCTAATTTACTCCCAGTGAAAAGGGTGCAGTGCTGATGTATAATGCATTGCAAGCTGATGTTTAGAAAGATCATCGCATCTTAGTTACTCGTGTTAGTGCGATAACGTTTGCAAAAAAAAGTGCCACTGTGGCTGATGGAAATGTCATTAATAGCAGCCTGATGATGATTCAACATGAAAACCTGGATGGCAACCACAGTTATTACAGTTCATTCTGAATGGGACATGTTATCTGTACTGAACTACAAAAATGTCCATACAGTAGTTGTTGAGACATTTCTGTTAAAACCCGCAAATCACAGCATTTGATTTTAGCTGATTTTTGACTGTCCTTAGATAAGGTACCATTTTTTAAAATAAGTGGCTTTCAAACTTTGTGCCTTGGGCTGCATATGTTTTGTCAATAAATTTATGTTTTACAAATTGCATTGTGCAAGCAAATTTAACAACGATAGGATACAGTTAGAATCTACACTATAGTAATGAATCTGCCTAATTTTAATTGTAAAGAAGCTTTTGAATTTTAAGATGTTAATACACCAATCCCAAGAATAATTCAGAAATCTATTTTGTCCCTGGAATGAAAAGTGTCCCGGCCCAGCCTCTGAAAGAGAAACACTGTGTTAGATAATCACAGCATGTCTATTAAAGCCAAATGTATAGAAAGACCCGAGGGTGGAGATCAATTGGATAATTCAAGGGCAAACCCAGTGTAATATCTCAGTTTTTTGAGAGCTGGAAAATGAGAGCACCCTTAAAAGCAGAAAATAGATGATGTTACGCTGCGTGTCAGCAAATGTCAGTCCTTTGAGTGCACTGTGGGCCCAAGGCTATGCTTTTAGACTTTCCTTCAACTGAGCTGAAAAAGGAGGCCGACATTAACTCCTTTTTGCATGCCTTAATATTACATATCCCCTGCCAAATATTAAGAGAAATTATGGAATATTAGAAAAGCTTTTAAATAATTTCTGTGATGACTGCAGCTCACAACTGCCTTTCACACAGTGACTCAGACTTCTAAAGCTGCAGATAAATGTTAATGAAATACTTTGGGTCAGAGATATTAGTTTAACATAAACAAGGAAAATTGTGAGAGTCAGAAGCTGCTCGCAGACGATTCGGCTGCCAGCTGAGAGGTAAAGTTGACTCGAACGCATGGCATTCAGAAGAGTTAAGAGGGGCAGCTTGGTGAGGAAATCTCTCAGGCTCATAGGATTTGACACTGATCCAGGTAAGATGCCAAATGATCAAAACACAGCAATCCAAACAGCCTTAAAACATAAAAAGAAAACCACAGTTAAAACTCAAACTTCCAGCTCGTGCAAGAAATGACTTACTGTGGTGGGATATTTATCGGCCCTTGTATTTATAATTATAGGCTCTTATTTTTTATTTTCAAACTGCTACAGAACATGAATGTACTCCTGAAGTTTTAAGTTTCCAACAGCAAAAAAGTAACAGTTTTTTGTAAATATTATTTTCTCACAGATTCCTGTCATAAATTTGTAGCGCATGTTAATAAAACCCTGACCAGCTCTATATCATGCACAGCTTCCATTGCTGCTCTGCTATCGTTCCTGCAGTTTATTGCTCCCAGATGCTACAAAACTTGGCAGCCTTGATGATTAAAATCATGTGACAGCTCCTTTCGCTGTGACAGTCAGATCTTATGTACAGTACCATCAGCATTGTCTTATCAGGGTTTGTCACTGACAGCCTCATTCAGAGAGCTTCAGCTGCCTCTCCGCTGTGCACACATGTTCTCATACATGCTGTTCATTCTTTTATTGCTCCCGCTGTTTGACAAATGACAGATCGGCATTTATTTTGCATTCACTATAATCTACGTATGTATGTGTACATTGGCATGGATACAAACTGTTTTGTGTGTGTGGTTGAAGAGATTGGTTTCTGCCTATGCGCATGTGGGAGTACTTCTCTGAAGAAGTAGGCATTCTGTTTCCTCTCAGGCTCTGTGGCTCCTTGGACGTAAAGTCCATCAGGCAGGCAAGGCAAGGCACTGTTGTGGATTTACTGAATGTTGGTTCAGGCCTGCAGGGAGGGGGCACTCGGGCTTCCTTAATCACCACACAAATGCCTTTATTCATCTTCAGAACTGTGCAATTAATTTTGGTGCCAGAGTCAGAACCTATGGGGAAATCTGACCTGTTATTGGCTCTCAGAGCTGTGCATGTTCTTTCTCTCTCTCTAGGTGCCAGACAGGCATTCAAAACTAATTTCAAGGATAATATTGTATTTATATTCACAGCTTACAGAGACTCACGAAAGTTTCTTTGTTTTATATGTACAATAGTTCAGTCTGCTCTGAACTCTGCCATTGTGTAAAAAACTCAAAGCAGTATGCAAATTGAAAAACTCTGTTAACACCTAAATGGTTTTTTAACTAATTAAAAAGTATACTAATTGTGGATCTGATAACACTCTAGTAACACTACATCACAAAATCAGTATTTATTAAAATCTCTATTTTGCTAACTTTGAACAAATCCCATGAAAAGGCCAAAAGCCACAACATGTGTCTGATTCCCCTGGCCTGACTGTGGCTCTGAGGCACTGTAGGTTATAGCAGAAGTTACTGAAACCGGAGTACATTGTGTATTTGTTGTGAGTTTAAACAATTTTTGCAGTAGCAGTTTATGTGGAAATAAAATCCATATAATAGGCACTGGTCTATTAATGGGAATTGTTGACATTCATAGAAACAAAAAATATTGCTACCCTTATCCTTTAGTGTTCATTCATATCACTGCACTGTTTAACAAGTCAAGGGACTTGCTGAAACAAGCTATTAAATCAATAACTCATCTGTATGTTAATAAACAATAAAAATGTCAATAACTGTGTTATTCATTCATATATATCCAGACAGAAATGTTCCCATTATAGTAAAATACTAATCCAAGTGTTTGCATTTGATTAGCACAATGTTGGAAATACACGATGCCCATAACTCATACTGCAGTAAATGGCTTTGTAGTTATATCTGAAAAACACAAATAAGCATCATCTGGATCCTTGTAATAAATTGTAAACAAAAGTTTCAAAGTCTAATGGAGAGCAAATGTGCTGTAAAACAACAAAAGAAATAAGATAAATAAATCATAAATACCCCATTTTTGTTCTTTGCATAATAATTCCAGGTATTTTAGGTATCGTCAAACAGCCATGCTGTCACAAAACAGGTCACTTTCTTAAAATCCCCCACGTTGCCTCTGCACTAAAAATGAACTTGTGAAGTACGTCATCTACAATTGAAAGCAGTAATTCTAGATAAAATTAAACAGAACTTTCCAAGCTTGCACAAATGTATAGCGCTGTACTTGTGATCCTCTGACCGAGTAAAGTAGGAGATACATGAGCTCTTAGCGGACCGCCGAGCTGCTGTGCTATTTCTCTGGGTGAATCATGACATGGACTGATTTAAATCTGAGAGAAACCAGATGCAACCACAGCAGTTATGAATAACTGGGAGTATTAGCAGGCCCAGATTTCGGGCCATACATAACTGCCATAATTACCAGTGTTCATAATATTAAAGAGCTTTGTGAGGGTCACCCAAGGCTATTAAATGTGTTATTTATAGAACATGATCAGAACAGAGCAGTATGGAGATGTAGTTGTGACACTGACCTTTACTAGTGTTTGTTTGTCATTCCTGCAGTTGTGTTAGGTTCAGTATTAGGCTCACATGATCTCTTTCCTTCTTTGTATTCTGCACTGTTAGCAAGCCATCGGGCTGTGGAGCAGTTCTGGCATAGTGACCAAACTGTGTTACTACAACTTCATCATATGATGCACACTGGCCTAATAAGAAATTTTCCAATACAAAATTACTGCCAAAGGAATGGTTATTAAAGAGTAATTTAATTTTCCTGAGCGTCACAAACCCTGCAAAATGACTTATTATCAGAATTGGATCCATTCAGTCCAGTGTAAAACAAAAGTGTGCTGAACATCTGGATGATTTTTATGGCCGGAATCTGAAAGCATGAAGAATATTTTTTGGAGTGTGCCCAGTTCAAAGGAATGAATTGGGTGCTGACTTGTAATCTGGTATCCTGTTCTCCTTAATGCACTGCAAGGTTTCAAAGAGACATCAACAATGTTGGCTTTCTTGAGAAATGACTTTTTATTACACAGTGCTTATGTCCAGAATCCTAATTCACTCATTCACTACTCCCCAGTGGTGGGCAACCTGCTTTGAAATCATAGCTTTGCAAGCTACCAATTACTTCACTGTGAAAGAAGTTGGACTACAGCTACTCTAGGGACAAATCTAGTTTGGTAAACTATAACTACTTAGATAAAGGTGGATCAGTAACTCAGTGCAATGTTTCATTCAGCCTTTTTTCCATTAGCCTTTGTGAAATGTGTAATTTAGTTAATCAACTAATGTAATTTAATTTTCCATACCCATACGACTCAACAATGCTCTATCATGCATTCATTCTTTCACCCTTCTAGATGTAATCTCTGCTGCCTGAAAACTTCTACACTTTTACTTTTGTTCTGCTGTTATTGCACAACCTACAGACAGGTGACAAATGAAAGGAAAATTCATAGTGCCTCAGTAATGTGTTGGGCCACCACATGCCACCAGAACAGCTTCGGTGCACCTTGGCACTGACTCTCCAAGTCTCTGAACTCGACTGGAGAATCAACACCATTCTTCCAAAACATATTCCCTCATTTGGTGTTTTGATGATGGTGGAGTAGTCGCTGTCTAACACATCTCTCCATAGTCTCCCATAGCTGTTCAACTGGTTGAGATGTGGTGACTGTGAAGGCCACAGCATATGATTCACATCATTTTCATGTTCATCAAACCATTCAATAACTCCTCCTGTCCTGTGGATGTGGGCACTGTCATCCTGGAGGAGACCACTCATTTGTTCATGGGTTTCTTTAATCTGCCACCTGTCTGTAGTCTGAACTAGCCATGACAACTTGGCTGTAAAAGTCTAGGCCTCCTGGAAATGAAGTTTATTGAAGGACAAACAACACTGAAAAAAACTCCTGTGCACTGATTCATATGATCATGCTGTTGTAAAATGTTGTTCCAGGGCTGAATTTTTAGTAAATAGCAATGTTAGAAATGTCACCTTTTCAGTGGCATTTTCTTACTTCCTCCTTATCTGGTTTCAGTTCACCTCCTTAAACTCAACCCAACAAGAAAGATTTATAGTCATTTATCTGTGAATAATCTATTTTGTCACACTGTTTTAGCAGCCCCTATTAGCAAAAAGTAAATCCAGTCCCATTCCAAACTGTTATATATTTGCAGCAGTGTTTGAAGTGTTTTACTCAGGTCTGTACAGAAGCCAGCAGTCACTTTATAGAGCTGACAGGACAAATGTCAACAAGCAGGGAGCGGAAAAAATGACTCTTCCCCAGTGACTCCCAAAGGATGTCAAGTGAGAGTGTGTGTGTGTGAGCCTGTGTGTAGTTATTGTGGCTGTGCAGATTTTGTGTGAGCATCTGAATATGTATGCGCAAGACTGTGTGTGCATGCTGTTTATTAATGTGCACACATGTCTGCCAAACATCTGGCTTCACCTCAGTGTCTGAACATTTAGATAGTACACACAGGTCAAAACAACAACTGCCAAATAAGTCGCTGAGGAGTGTGTTTATGAAAGTAACAGCATATGTTCCCCAGAGCTAATCATTATTTACCTTCATGTATTTCCTTCCTCTACCTTTTCCCAGAATCACTTATGGATGACCCCTTTTGGATCCACTCACCAGACAGATTTTACAGCCTCGTTCTGTGCAGTCTCTGAATGCTTACATGGTAACAGAAGAAGAACTGACGTCTTTGTCTGAACCTATTCTCACTTCTTTCAGAAAAGTGAGTTCTTCAGCAGCAAGCACCCCAAGTGTATTAAAGACATTTCATCTTGTGGCTGTCATGGAACAGATCCCACTCATTTCCTCATCTCTTTCTAATTATGCAATGCTATGTATTTTAAATTGCTCCATAAAATAGGTTTCATATAAAAACGTAAGGGTGCAGAACCCAATTAGCACTGGAGCAATGAGGAAGGCATGCGGTTCCTGCTCAATAGAGTCAGTTATAACTGGACGTGGGGGTGTGTGTGTGGGTGTGTAAAAGTGAAATGAGCCACATGGGAGTCATATCCACCTGAACTGACAGAATCACACAGCAAGTGCTGGGACATATTTTCATGGTGCATTAGGAGCTGGTATTAAATTGCAAGCAGATTCAGAAAATTGATTTTGATTTAAACTGACCTGAAAATGTGGCATTTAGTAGAGATGGGCATAAAAGAGCTTTAAAACCAGAATTTTCTTTTGCTTTTGAAAATGTTAAGCTGTAATTTAATATATTGCTTTTATACCGAACAACACTGTCCTTCAATTTAACATTGAATGTACAATTAATAATTTACTGCTAAGTAGGAAACATTAAAGTAGACTAACTGTTTTTGAGGATAGTTCTTAAACATACAATATGTAATTCAGGTAGAGTTACTAATCAAAAGTGGTTACATTTGAAAAATAAAAAGCTTAGAATAATATTAATTTTGACGCTTTACATCTTTTCACCTTGTTTTGGCATATTTCTGGACAACGTGGTTCAGCAAAGCTCTTGAAAGACTTAACACCATCATGAGTAGGATGGCTAATAAAGAGCTGTCTCTACGTCTCTACGATAGGCTCCATTCATTTTGCAGCATACATAAAATTTTGCTTTTGCATTACTTGGATTGGTTTTCTTGTTTGACTTTGCACCGCCTCTCATCTGTCAGTGAAATCATTGCACATGGCTCTAGGCCAGTGGTTCTCAAACTTTTTTCAGTAATATAATATAATAAATATTTTTTCAGCCAAGTATCCCATGACCAGTGCAAAACTGTAACAGTGCACCATCAGTGTCAGATTTATTAAACCTTGTAACCAAAAAAACACTTAAATGCTACATTTCAAATGTAGCCAATAGCCATTACTAAATTCATGGCAAACCAATAACACTAAGACATCATTGTAGTTGAGTGGTTTTGGTAAGCTGCACTCAGTTTAGTGAAAAACATGGCCTTGTGCTTCACTGATCATCTTGGTCATTCCCGGCTTCAGTCTAATTCATGTGGTTTATTGAAATTACATTTACATTTTTTATTGAATTACAATATAGTTATTTTAGGAATTATACATGACCAATATTGTTTTAAATTAACAGTTTAATAAAAAAGATTTCACATAACCCCTGCAGTACTCCAAAGTACTCCTAGGGGTACTCTACCCCCATTTGAGAAACACTGCTCCGTGCAGCCGGAGGCCTCCACGCCTGGCTGACAACACCAAGGCAGGGGGTCATGTAGTCAGACAAGGATGCTTTTCAGTGCTATAAATTCAAAAAACATTTCTGAAAACAGAAAAGGGTTTTGCTTGGTGCCCGTTCAGGAGGCTACATGTTTCAACAATAATATATTTAAAAAAGTTTGACAGTATAAGTATCAAAGTATCAGTATTGCCCAGTGTAAAACATTTTTTTTTTAGAAAAGTAATAAGTTACATCACTTTGATAAAGTAAATTAAATAGTTACATTACTTACAGTGTTAGATTTTTAACAGGGTGTGTCATATGTTATCATAACATTTTGAATGGTGGGTGAAAAATAAGACCTGAGTTGTAATAAAACTGCATTAACAGATTTTTAGGCCACTTGGCAGTAGTGCATAAACATAACACTGACTATGTTTATACAGCTTGTCAGCAAGTGGTCTCCTGCTTCTACTGTACATCCAGGAGACAACATTTGACGTTATGATTCTTGCCACCACTAACTCTGTCTTCTGTTTCATGCTAACCAGGCAGCATACTGTGGGTTTATCAGAACCTGATTCCTAAAAAAAAAAACTGTTGTCTGAGGATGCTATAGGAGAACTACAGAGCTGGTTAATAATTCTCTGTGGGTTTAGTTTTACAAGTGAACCCCTTTACATAACCTTTTCTATTGTTAATATGAAGATGGGCTAGGGAAAGTTTGTGGTCATGGTTGAATATAAAAAATGTCAACAGTGAATTGAAGCAGGATTCATAATGATTTTATAAACCACAAGTAACCATTTGTTATGACCATGATATATCCTAACACTTAATCATAACATAATTATGAAATCCCTAGTCAAAGCTGTATTTGAACATCATTTTGAGGATGCCATGATCTGAAATGTGTTCAGAATATAGCAAAAAAATGTTCAAGTAGTCTTCCAAAAGACTTTTTTTCTCCAGTACCAGTAGCAAACATACTGTTGCAATTACTGTTGCATGCTGCTTGGTGTCACACAGTAGCACACACATACACAATAAACAGACAGGGTCATACCGGCAGCAAGATAAGTTGTAGTTAGCCACTTTAAGGCTGGTTGTCAAGGACTGCTTTGGCTATTGATTTCCACTCTTCAATAACTAATGTGCCTCCTGACCTTGGTTACATATTAAGAAGAGTTTCGCCTATTTCGAGTGGAGAAGGGGAATGAAGCATCAATGAATGATTTGGCACAAACTGCCTCACAGAGGCGATTAAAGCTCCAGATTTCAATGAGCCATTTAGCTCCATTCTTAGCTTACGGGTGGAGTGCTCAGTGTAAGATTAATGGTTTGATCTCAGCCCGAGTGCTAGGGATGACTGTAAGGATGACTGTAACTTTCCTCTCTTTTACCCTGGAGCAGGGGGGACAAGTTTTTTTTCTAAATATGTGTGCTAAAGATGATCACCTTAATAGTGATCTATCAATATAACAATATATAAATGTATCACTTCCTAGCCTGTAAAACACACAGTATTTTCTGATGCTCAAGTGATATACACTGATAAGCCACAATATTAAAACCATGTAACTAATACTGTGTAGGTCCCCCTTGTGCCACAGTAACAGCTCTAACCCGTCAGTCAAGGCATGGACTGAAGGTGTCCTCTGGTATCTGACACCAAGACGTCAGCAGCAAATCCTTTTTCCAGCACATCCCACAGATACTCAGTTGGAGAATTTGGAGGCCAGGTCAACACCTTGAACATGTTGTTGTGCTCCTGAACCATTTTTGCAGTGTGGAAAAAAACATTATAAAAAAACCTGCTGAAAGAGGCCAGTGCCGTTAGAGAATACTGTTAATATGAAGGGGGGTACTTGGTCTGCAACAATGTTTAGGTAGGTGATATGTGTCAAAGTAACCTAAAGTTTCCCAGCAGAACATTGCCCAAAGCATCACACTGCCTCCACCAGCTTGCCTTCTTACCATTCTGGTGCCATCATTTCCCATGGCAAGCGACGCACATGCACCCATCCACCCAAATGATGAAAAAGAAATGTGATTCATCAGACCAGGCCACCTTCTTCCATTGCTCCGTGGTCCAGATCTCATGCTCATATGCCCATTGTCTACCGTCAAAAGCGAATACAGAGGCCAGCATAGGCACTCTGCAGCTACACAGCCCCATACGCAGTGAGCTGCAAAACATTGTGTTCTAACACCTGTCTAGCAGAACCAGCATTAGGTTTTCCACCAATTTGTGCTACAGTAGCTCTTTTGTGGGCTCTGACCAGATGAGTTACCCTTTGATCCCCATGTACATCAGTGAGCCTTGGGCACACGTGACTATGGCACCGGTTCACCGGTTGCCCTTCCATGGATCACTTTGCTAGGCACTGACCACTGCAGACCAAACAATGCCACACAAGACCTCTAGTTTGGGAGATGCTCTGACCCAGTCTAGTCATCATGATTTGACCCTTGTCACTCAGAACCTTACACTTGACCATTTGTTCTGCTTCAGCGCATCAGTTTCAAAAGCTGACTGTTCACTTGCTGCCTCATATATCACACACACTGACATGTGCCATTGTAATGTGATAATCAGTGTTATTCACATCTGCCAGTGATGTTAATGTTGTGACTGACCTGTGTATTATTCTTTGAAAAACATTAAATTCATATTTACCTGGAATACTACATTTAAAGAATAGAGAAATTGAATGCATTCCATTTCTTAAGTCACCCTAAATAAGATTACCTTTGTTGTTTGTGTCCAGGAGACAGGAGCGGATCATTCGTGTTAATCATGTCCTTATCATTCTTTTTTCCATCTTCAATTCGCACCTCACTTCTCTCTGCCACTTCATTCGCAGGTCAGCACCACTATTGATTTACATCCCTCAGCTAATCACTTAGGTAACATTTCCCTGGCGGCTCCTTTTTTCCTCCCATGATTCATAGCCAAGCAGTGAAATCTCCCAGTTGCCACTAATTAAGCTTAAGGTCACTCTTTAATCATCACCTGCTTGTGCATCGTTGAATGACTGCCCTTGCTGATACAATGCATTGCTAAAAAGCTCTGCAAGATGAAGCCTGTTGGGGGAAAGAAGCATATTTGTGTTTGAGCTGTCATTTTAGTCTGCCTGAAAGACGTCCATTGTGTGTCAATTATAAGGAACATGAGAAACAAATGTGAGAGGAAATAAAATGACAGAGAAATAGAGATATCTTCCTTCATTATTTTCAGAGCTTGATAACTGAACTTGGTACAGGCAGATGGGTGAGTGAACCATTTTTCTGTTTTTAACCTTCTCTGCTCTTTACACTTCATACTCCCACAAATGTGTTCATGCACACACACACACAGGTATGCATATTGTACTGGCTACTCAAGAACAACTCATTCCAAATGACATTTATGTGCTATAAGTGCCACTTTGGTCCTATGTGTGATGATTTAGCCACTTTCGACACTAGCTGAGAACCCCCTCTTCTCCCGTATTCCGTCTCACACCTACACACATATTAGTCAATCCATGCATGGAAATGAGTGACTTTAGAAAGAAATATAACCTTTAGCTCCACATGTGTGAAGAGAGACTGACAGAGTGGCCTTTTTAGATATTTTTTATCGTCTGAGTGGAAGTTCTCTCTTTGCTTTCCATGCCTCACTGGGAGGTCAGAGGTCAGGGTGGGCCACAGTGCAGATTATTGTTGTTGGGCATTATTGTCATTCTTGGCATTTCCAATAAAAGCACTGTCACTGTACTTAACTTAAAGCTTTTGTGAGGCCACCACTGCTCTAGCACATGATTAACTCTAAAATAGAGCTCATTTCACCCATGTAAGCTATCAGTATCCCACACAGCCATACAGTATAAGTGTGACAGCTATATAAACAGCTTGCTTTGTTGTTAGGAATCCAAACAGGGTGATATTTACTTTCAGATGAATTTGTGTGCCATTTGGGATGTTATACTGTGTCATTTGTCAAGCACTACATTTGTAGTTGATATTATTTACATTTTAGCATGCCTGGGAGTCTTTTCTTGATTAATTGAAGCGGAAATGGGAAAAGCGAGGCACTTAAGGAAGATTCATTTTTCATTATTCTCAAGCCTTGTAT